TGGAGATTAAATTTTTGTAGTATTTTTTTTATTGTTTTTACAGCAATTATAAGGAGAATGCAGCCTTACAAAAAAAAGATATTAGCTTAGTGGTACAGAGCTTAAGTTTTTTAAAATATTTACATAATTCAGAAATACACTTCTATTCAATTCTTCATGAAGATTTCTGCCAGAACTTGCCACTGCTTCCTCTCAACCTAAATAAGAAAGTAAAATAGTTTAGATTATCAAATTTATCGGGATATTTATAATAAAAATCACATATATTGAAGGTATTGATTAAACAATTCCACATTTTTGTTATTGAAGCAAACTGTTTATATTACATTTCTGAACTAATTGTCCTAAACATCAGAACTCAATTAACCTCCTCACACAATTTTTCTTTAATTTAATAGCCTTCACTTAAACTTTTTTGTAATAGCATTCAAACTACTAACCCCTTCATAACAGTCTTCACTCTGCCAACCCTACCATAACACATACTCTTCACACTTCTTAGCTTCACAATATTTCTCTCTCAATAACACCAGTTAGACAAAATAATCTCAAAAAACAATTAAACTTCCACAAGGTTGAAGTTTTAAAAGTTACAGTGTTCCCCCTAAGAGAAGACAGTGTATATAGTTAATTAGTTAAAATTAACATACAACTTTTTACATACATCAGTGTCATACATACAATATTATGCTGATCAACTGATTTCAAATCACCATCTTTTACACCAAATAACAAACAAATATATATTGATTCTACCAATCTGCCTTATTTACTACTTCACACATGGAACATATTTATCCTAGAATTTTTATTTTTTAAATTCCTTTTCAGTTTTTAAGTTCATTTGTTATATGATATTTTTGTATCTTTGATACATTTTACAGCATTAGTCAACCTGCTTGTTTTTCAAGTAATGATTTACAAGGTTTTGATGTAGTTTATTTTAAAAATACACACATATCTTTATAGTCTTTCATTCTAAAAAAGGGTTTAAAACTATTCAGATTTCCACTTAAAATAAGCACTTGGGTATTATTCAGAGGTGAATTTTGATATAAGAATGCATGCTTATGTTAAGTAACAAAACCTATGCCATGATCAACTGCAAGTAGTTTTGAGCAATCTTAGCTCTCAACAGCCTAGTTAAATTAACAGAGGAGATTGTTAAGTAAGTGAGCTTAATAGGGATTTAGGTGAGAAGGTGTCTTGGTATGTTGTTTTAGGATACACACACACAAATTTATACTCTTTCATTCTGCAAGAGAGTTTGTAGTTATTCAGTTTTTCAGGTAAATTTAACACTCAGCTTACTTATCTCTTCATTGGTTGAATTGTGGTATGGAAGAAAAAAAAAAGATCTCATTTCACAGACTGAGGTAGAGAAAGTATTACAAAAGTGTTAGGAAAATATCTCAGCTTATAAAAATAATACACATTTCAATAAACATTTAGTTTGTGTTTAGAATGTTGCATTGTTTTATAAGATGGAAAAGTAAGATCCAAGAAGACATTAATAAAATTACAAAGGATAATTACACACTTCTTATTCAGAAGCCTAAAAAGCTAACAAAAAAAAATTGTCTGCATAATAATTTTAGAATTTACTTACAAACTTCATTAGAAAAGCTGTATATTATGTTATAAATCATTTTCTTCAATTCATTTGATTATCATCATCATCATTTTTATTTAAGATGCGGGAATGCAGGCATTATCTAAATATAGGAATGCACAAGTGCATCACCTTTACTGAGGTAAGAAGTAAGGCTATGTTTTTACCCTTTTGTTTTTGATGGCTTTTTCCCAGCTTTATCAGTAACACCTTCTCTTGAGTCTGTGGCCATTTGTTCTTCACTGTCCTGAGACTGATCTTTCAAGCTTTTCTTAATGTTATTTACCTATAGGAACAAATCAATCAGACTAACAGGATATCATAATATAGTGATAGTCTATTACACTAAAGCTCTGTAGGACAAAGTTGGCTTTTCTGAAAGTTAGTTTTACTTGTAATATATTACTTCTTAAATACTTGTTTTATGTACAAACATTAAAAAAAAATCCAGAAATAAATTACCATGGTTAAAAATTAAGGCAATTTAAAATACTGACTTTTTTAGTTTTTTTACTTCCACATATATCATACATCTAAGGACAATTGCCCTTCTGAGATTACAAAAATAGTATAGATTTTTAACATCTGTTCAGCCTAAAGTGATGTTATGTTACACTAAAGTATACTGTGTGCAAGTAATTTTAATATGAAAAACAATGGATACAAAAATCCATTATTACCTTTAAATTTTATGATGAACTATTTATATCTTTTGGAAAATAAATATTTACTTGTAAAATTGATTTTAATTCTGGAATTGATATACATAAAAGTTGAACACAGATACAGTGCTACAATTAAAAGGTGACACGATCCATTAACAGATTGCAGATAATTGGATAACAGCATTTTCACTTTAAATTAACTTTATAAACATGGTAAAAATGAAATTTAATATATGCTATAGTTAAAAGTAGCTGTAAATGTACTAAGAAAGAAAATGACATGTACACACAAAATCACAGAGTCTCACATACTTTACAAGTAGGCAGAAAACATATAATAACACAGCAAACATCAGCAAATTTACTATAAGTTAACAAATGCTAAAACACTAAATATCTTTACTAAGAAAGAATAAAACAAAATTCCTCATGTAACATAAAACAATAATATAACTCCTTTGGTTATAAATGTACATAGTTCATTAATCAATCTTGGACATAAAACTTGACGAGTATCAGGGCTAAAAAATTCATTTATGTTTCTTTTTTTTGTATCTAACTTTTCTCTATAAACACATATAATAATTTAAAGCTTTTAAAGAAACTAAAGATAGGAAAATCTGTGCTCTTACAAATTCTGTGTATCGTTGGAGAAAAGTACTAAAATAAAAAAAAACATTTATACCTCTGTTTCAATCTGTTGTTTTTGCTTCATGTTGAAATCCTTAAGGCTGTTAGCTTTTGTAATCTGGCTTTCTATATTACTGAGAATTGTCTCACAGCTTGTACACCTAAGGATTTTACAAAAACATCCTCAAAAAAGTCAAGTTTTTAAAAATTTTCTGAATTATGTTAAATTTTATTAAAAGAAAAAATTTTAATAGCTGATATAACATATTAAACATTCCACGATTATGCTTTAAAAAGTTTAGAAGTCTTAAATTAAAAACTTAGTTGAGAAAGATTAAGGCATTATCAAATTTTGAAACTTGAACCTATCAAACTCACCATTCTTGAAGTATTGAGACTATTGTGTTGACATCTTCTGTTTGAATGTCTCTACCAATTGTGTAGTCTATTTCTAATTGGTTGTTTTTCTGGTCAAGCTTTCCTCGGACAATATCTGCATAGATGACTTCAATGATTAAGTCTTCCAGTTCTCGTAAGTTATGAAGGTCCAATTCTTTCAACAATGTAGAATAAGGTATGCACTACATAATTGTAAGTAATCCATAATTAAACAACAGTAAAACAATATGAAAATATAGTTTCATTTTCTTTTTGTTAATCTAATTACAAGCCAATGTTAAGTGTGAATGGCCAAGTGTAATATTTTTCTCAGTGGAGATGTTGAAAATATTTTTATATTCAAAGACACCTAAGGAAGTTTATAATAAAAGTAACAATAACACATGATTGATAATAATATAAACAATACCCACATATAAGAATCTTAAATATTTTTTAATATATATATATATATAATAGATATTTAAGATTTCCTGTGAAAAATGAGAGCCGAATACTTATGGCAAATCTTGTACACAACAGGACAAGTTACATGTAGTTGGTGGCATTTTAAACTACTTTGTCTAGTCTCTGAACATTTAAACTATTTTCATTGTAACCCCCACAAAAAATGTTTATTCAGATTTGTCTTCCATTCACTATACTAGTTTTCCCAGCTGATTTTACTACTAGACAAAGTCATTGGATAACCTTGAGAAAATTACTCTCAGTTGGCAAATTTCCACCAACTGGTTTGACTTTGGTGGATGTTTTTGAAACCTCATATTCTCCTGTCTCTAACTGCAATTAGATTATATTTCTAATTAGTTCTGTAGGCTAATTTCAAGAAATTTAATTAAGGAAAGCTGCTATATTCTGGAGCCAACTTAAGCAGACATTCACTTGTCATGGTGAAAAAAAAAGAACCAAGAATATTTGGATTTATTTTGTTAAAAATTCAGTAAAAAATTAGTTCACTCAAGAATAACAATTAATCTACATCATTTTGAACTTTGTATTTTTTAGTATATTTTAGGCTATTTTACAGTCAAAGACTAAAACTAGATTACTTACATCCATTTCATATTATTGCATTAACCAAAGGCCTTGAATTAACACAACTGTAAAACTTATTTTACATCTTACGCATTACATTGCAAAAACAAAATTCAACTACTTGCTGATGATACATAAACAGTGTACCTATATTGACTTGTATAATTTAACTCAATCTATAAAAGTTTTAAACTTCTAAGAAAAATTATCTTTATATACAACTTAATAATTTTGTTCAAACCTTTGACTTCGTTGCTAATGAAACAATTGTTAAGTGACGTAACTTGGTGATCATGGCCGGTGTAAGTTCGGGAAATTTAGCTTTATTTTCTGTAATAAGGAAATAAAGCATAAACAGTTTGTTTCATCTTTAGTGATATATCTAAAAACTAATCAAAGCTAAAATATAGTTAATTCAGTGATAGTGCAGGAATTCAATATAAAATACAAATTTTGTAAATCATTTACAAAAACAAATACTAAAGTCTGCAAAACGTGTGTAAAAATTTTATTCCTCCTCATCATTAAAACTTTAAAATATTAAGTTCAATACCAAGTTGCTATATCTTACCATAAGAAAACTACACATTTATGATTTGAAGGTAACCTAATATATGTAGCAATATTTGGTGGATAGTTTTTACAAATAACATTTACACAAATTCAAGAACAGTCATGCCCATTTATGTGCTGCACATTATTGCTGAGGTTAACTTACTGATAAGTTAGTTATTTTCACTGAAGTATATACATTTCAAAAGCTAATTTCAATCCCAATGACTAAATAGTGTCTGATTTATTTGTTTTCAAAAGGCATTCATAAAAATGTACCTACTACACCCTTGCCAAAGAAAAAAAATTTAATATGGAATAATCATAACATAAGGACAACAAGGGACCATTTCTGCCTTCAAGGACTGTCCCTGCTTACTAAATCTTGAGAAAAAAAGTAAGAACTTAAACCCATTCTTTAGTTTACAAGAAATTATTGAATCCCTTTTTTTTAATATCTTGTTAAGTGCCAGACTCCACTACTGCCAAAGGCCACTCAACCCATAAAACAATTACCGTCTTATGTGGAGCCTAGCATGTCTTCTACAAATCTTAAACTTCTGTCAACTTGTCCTACTGTGTTCAGAATGTAGCACAAAGAAACCAGAGGCCTTTATCTTATTGATACCCCAATAATCTAGTAAACTTCAATAAGACCATCTCTAAACCTTCTTTTATTCAAGAAAGATCTTAGCCTACCCCCAGATAACCTTTCCATTCTTGGAATTATCCTAATAGCCCTCCACTGAACCCTTTCCAATAAATCAATATCCTTTCTCAGATAGGGAGATCATAAATGTACACAATATTCCAAATGAGGCCTAACTAGTGATTTGTTTAAAAGAGATGATTATCTCTTTTGACATGTAATTAAATATCCACACAAATATCAGTTTTTCTAATAGCAACCAAGCACTGCTTCAATGGCTTTTGTGATTTATTAACCACTAAGCCAAGATCCTTATCTTCAGGCATGCTATTGAGTAGTTTCCCATCCATATTAAAAACATGTAATATGAATTATGATAATCCAAAGGTATTATTTTGTCCATTCTATTTCTAAGAACATGTGACTGAAAATAAAAAGATTGTACTTGTAGAGCAAAATGTCAAACACACTATATATTCTATATCCAGTGCTGATGAGGCCTTTCATCCAATACCAGTGCTTATCGGCCCAACTGGGACCTGATAGAAACTGTTGTGGTCAAAGCACTACTTATATTACCAAATTGCATGAGCAACTGTTCTGGTGCAAATTATATAAAAAGTCTTTTGCCCAATACTTGTCTAACTATCTAACTGATCCAAGTCATTTGTAGTGTCTCATCACTCTCAGGACAGCTAGAAATATTCATAGCTTAATGACATCCACAAATGTTAATAATTTACTAATCATGTCCCTATCAATATCACTAAAGTAAATAAGAAAAACAAAAGGCCCAGGCATTGATCTCTGACGCACTCAACTAGTAAAGACGGTCCAGTTTGACTGGACTTCATTAATAACTTCACAGATAAAACAGGTTATTTTAATATGATTTGAAGATAAATAAATAGCTTATAATAATTATTTATTTTTTTATTTATTTAGCATCATACTCACTTCAATGAGTAATAAAATACTTTTCACTCACCCAAATAGTTAGCAAAAGTTCCATAAGCAAACACATTTAGAAGATGAAAATAAGATGCACTTTCACCAGTTGCTATCTGTACAAAAGGAAAAAGATTATTACATGTCAAACATTTAACTTCTACCTTAACAAGCACTATATACTATTGATAAATCTGATGTTTGTAAAAAGACTGAAACACAAGAATTCGTACAACATTTAATTTTCCTTCCAAATATCCTAATGTTTAAAAATAAAACCTCAACTGTAACACTTCTATACTACTGGATTAGTTTGTGAAAGTGTTAATATAGTATACATTAAATATTAAACATCCACCATATATTTGTCATGGGATAAAAAATGTTTGAAATAAGAGGAGGCAAAGTGACAGAAAACCATTCAGACTATTGAGATCACCCCTTTTATAATATATTCCTCAAGCTTATTGATATCAAAATTGTTGAGTAAGCAGCAATTGTATTGTTTCCTTACTTTACACAGTTGGTAACAAAACTAACTAAAATATGGAAGGACAAACTTCATATTACTATAAGAAACTGCTATCTAGAAATGTAAAAAAGAACTTAAGTCTTTTAGAGCTCGAACACATAAAATGATGAATAACTTAGTTAACTTTAATGTAAAAATGAGATGAAAAAAAATTCGATGGTGAAAAAGGGGCAGTTTAAATAACAGTCTAAAAACTTATATCAAATAATGTTCAAGGCTTAAAAAGTAGAAAAAGAATGATTTTTAGGGTAGTTATTTATAACTGCATTTGTGTTCCATTTTTCTTTTAATGTTATTTACTGCTATCTTAACATGGTTATACTTAACACCAACTACTTCTCACAGGCAAAATAACAAAACCTGAGAGCCTTACCTCCTTAATATTAGGCATGTCTAGCAACTCTCCAAATACATAAATGCCAGGAGCCTCCAAAACCTGTTTTATCAATCCCACTGCAGCAATTCCTTTAGCTGTCTTGGCCAAAATAAGATACTGTTCAAGTAGTATCGACTGACTAACTGAAGCTGGTGGCTTCTCTGCCATGACTGCTAAAGAGAAATAATGTTCACAAATCAGAATAACTATCTTAACATATTTAAATATACTTGTATGTATTTGCAATTCAAAATATTATTTCTAATGTAAAAAAAAGGAGAATAAACTGTTTCACAATTAATAGAGCCCCACTATTTAAATGAAAAAAAAAAATCTGTAAATGACTTAAAACATGCAAGGGTACTAAATACACATGAATATTACAAAGCATATTACAGCTATTTAACAAGGGTGCTATTTAGTAAAAGATATATAGTACTAATGAAATTAATGAGCAAAGTAGATTTAGATTGTTTCTAAATGTGCTGTCCTTTAAATCTCAAAAGGTTAGACAAAAAAATCATTGTATAATAAATGTTACCTTCAAAACAAGTTTCAATTTCAGCCTTGTTATTTCCTGGTGAGATAAACAAAAACAATATCTTTGTCACACTCGTTTTTGGGATAAATATTTAGCTTCACATACCGACCAACACCTTCTTTCAATAGTTCATAAACAGGCCAGTATGATGAGTTAAATAATTAAGGGTTGAAACTCACCAGACACATTTAGAAATGCAAATAATATTTCATTATATCTGAATTTTACACACAAAGAAAACTTTGTAATTATTGATAAAAACTGGATGCTCAAATATGGGTTATTACACTAAAAACTACGTGTAGAGTATATCACATTCTTACATTCCAAATTTTCACAAGAAATATGGAATTATTAATTATTACTAATTATTACTGTAAGTTCAACTATGGGCCTGCTTTCTTTATGCTCAAATATGGGTTATTACACTAAAAACTACGTGTAGAGTACATCACATTCTTACATTCCAAATTTCCACAAGAAATATGGAATTATTAATTATTACTGTAAGTTCAACTATGGGCCTGCTTTCTTTATATATATATAAATTTTGATCATTAAGTACATCAAATAACTTATTAAACATAGTTTCAAAAATTTAAACACCCAGGCCAACATATTGTTATGTCTCTGCTCGTTTGATAATTTCCAGAAGAAATTCTTCCCGAGGAACTTCAGCGATACAAGTCCTTTCTTAAATAAAACAAGTTTATTCTTTCTCAATACAACTTTGCAATACACTTAATTTCCACAGCCACTTTAAATTAAACAC